TCTGGGATGAAGGTGACATGCGACATCAAGACAGTGTGCCGCGCGTTTGCTGATAATGGCTGCCTGTTGCGCCCGCTGTGCGGGAAGCAAGACCATTCTGATGAGGACAAGAGAACCGCCTGGCATGGGACCGCGAGCACGAGCACCGTAGCCATGGCCAGTGGTGTCAGTACGCCCACGCGCGCATGGCCAAAAAATAAGGTGTTCCAGGTGCTGCCCATTGCGAAATCCATGAAGGTGGCGGCCAAACGGAATATTCACGGGGTGCACACGAAGCGCGAGCAGGGCTTTTCCGTGGGCGGGCCACGTCAAACCGAGCAACCCCAAGGTTCTTGGCAAGCGCAAGTCGGAGACCGCGCTGGGGCCATTCGGCGCTGGGCCAGTGGCCGACCGGCGCGCTCCGATTTGGTTTGCCGCTAGGTTCTGAAGCAGGGCTCTGGCATGGGCTCCGCCATGGCGTGCGCCATCGGCGCGGGCAGGGTGTGGATGTGGCACCAGGTGGTCGGTCGGGGGAACGCCGAAGCCGCCGAACGCATGTGCTCGGGGCCGTTCCGGGCCGCCTTGAAGCAGGCCTGCCCCTCCTTGCCCGGCAAAGTCCGCGTCGTGGACGACGACGAACCCACGGGCTACAAATTCCGCTCGGGCGTCGCGGCGCAGAAGTCCGTTGGCGTCCAGACGTTGGAGTTGGTGAAGCGTTCGTCAGATCAGACGCCGCTTGATTTCGTTTTCCGAGCCGACCTGGACGACCACATGGGGGGGCAGGAGAAGGATTGGCCCGAGAGCAAGAAGGAGACGCGGGCGCAGTACCTCGCCCAGCTGTGCCGCGCGGCGTTGGCGACGCCATCTGAGTTCATCAGCGGCATCATGGGCGGGCAGCGCAAGCGCTATCGCTTGCTGGATTAGGCGAAAGGCGGCCATTTCGCCTCGGGCGACGGGGACTGATCTCCCCCGCGCGCGTGGTTACCTCGGGCGGCCTCGGCGCTGCCCACGGCGGGCCAGGGCGGCGGGCAGCCCGTGGCGGCCCGGGCCTTTTTCCCCAAACAGCTTGCTGAACGGGGTGCTGTTGTGATAGAAGCCAACTCCGGCCGGGTGAAGGGGAAGCGGAGACATCCTCACGAAAATCTGATGGTCCGGGCCGTTTCGCTTGAGACATCCTCACAACTCTTGTTTCTGAGTTGGCCGGGATTGGCCGTTTCGCCTGAGACATCCTCGAAAAGTTGCGCTCCGGGGCGCCGCGCGAGAGGTGGTCCGGGCCGTTTCGCTTGACATCCTCGAAACTCTGAGCGCCGAGGTGCCGTGCGAGAGGTGGTCCGGGCCGTTTCGCCTGAGACATCTTCGAAACTCTGAGCTTTGAGATGTCTTGCGCGAGGTGGTCCGGCCCGTTTCGCATGAGACATTTTCGAAACTCTGACCTCGGAGATGCCGCGCGACAGGTGGTCCGGCCCGTTTCGCCTGAGACAGCCTCGAAATTCTGACTTCGGAGATGCCGCGCGAGAGGTGGTCCGGCCCGTCTCGCCTGAGACATCCTCGCAACTCTGAGCTCTGAGATGCCGTGCGCAAGGTGGTCCGGCCTGTTTCGCACAAGGCATTCTCGCATCTCTGAGCCCCCAGATGCCGCGCAAGGTCGTCCAGCCTGGGGGCCCAGAAGACCACATGTTACATTTTCTCCCTGAGAGCCCCAGGAGGCCCCAGAGAGCTCCAGGAGGCCGCAGGACGCCCAGGACAGGCCCCAAGGGTCCCCAGGAGATTCCCAGGAGGCTCCCAGGAGGCCCCACGAGGCCCCCCTCCATTTTGAGGGGCCCAAGCGGCCACAGGTTAGATATCCACCCCTGGGAGCCCCAAGAGGCTTCAGGAAACCTCAGGTGGAGTTCAGGAGGTCACAGGAGGCCCAGGAGGAAGCCCCAGGAGGTCCCCAGGAGGCCCCCGCAACTCGGAACTTTGAGACGCCGCGCTCGAGGTGGTCCAGCCCGTTTCGCCTGAGACTTCCTCGAAGCACGTTTCGCCCGAGACATCGTCGCCACTCTGGGGTCCGAGATGCCACGCGCGAGGTGGTCCAGCTCGTTACGCTGGAGACATCCTCGCAACTCTAGGCTCCGAGATGCCGTTCGGGATGGAAAGGAGGAGGAGGAGGAGGAGGAGGAGGAGGAGGAGGAGGAGGACTAGGAGGAGGAGGAGGAGGAGGAGGAGGAGGAGGAGGAGGAGGAGGAGGAGGAGGAGGAGAAGGATATGGAAGGGAGAAGGAGGAGGCGGATGATGTGGATGAGGGAGCAGGCAGGAGGAGGGGGAGGAGGAGGAGGAGGAGGAGGAGGAGGAGGAGGAGGGAAAAGGAAGGGACTTGCAGGAGAGGACCTAACGGGAAACGAGTGTGACGTGGACTTGTCAGAAAGTGTGCGAGAGGCTGTCCGGCCCGTTTCGTTTGAGACATCCTTCCAATACTGAGCTCCAAGATGTCGTTCGCGAGGTGGTCTGGCCCGTTTCGATTGAGCCATCCTCGCAATGGGAGGTTCGAAGATGTTGCGCGCGAGATGGTCTGGCCCGTTCCGCCCGAAACGTTTCTTGGCACAGGGGCTCCAATCACAACCTCTCTCATTGCTTCTCCCGCCTCCCTCTTCCCACTTCCCGCCTGGTTCCTCTTCCCTCCTCCCTCCTCCCGCCTCCCGCCTCCCGCTGCTGCGCCTCTGCATCCGCCTCCCCGTCCCCGCCGTTGTCGTTTCTGCCGCTTCAGCACCCGTCATGCGCGCCTTGCCTGCCGCCCTCCCCAGACGTCCGACGTCACGACTTTTCTTTTGAGACGCGCGCCGCGTACCTCCCGATAGCATCCCCGGGGGAACCGTCACGACATGCCCCCCCGCTTCCGCGCCCTCCCCCGCTCCCTCTTACAGTTGCTTTCGAGTTCGCAGCATGGCGGCGGAACCTTTCACAGTGCCGACCCGGCAGCTTGCTCGTCGACCAGGTGCGAAAGAGTACGACACCCTCTAGCGTTAGCTTCTTGATTGGTATGCGTCACACAGGTTTTTGTGCACACATCTCATGTGCAAACATCATGTAATCATGTTCTTACATGCCATGCCAGTCCGCACTGGACGGGCACGCGATCGACCTTGGAAACCGCAGTGGGCCTAAAAACCCTGTTTGGGGAGACGGCGCTCCTGCCATAATTTCATATCGTTGACCCGCGCGAGCAACCGCGGCGCAGCCCGCAGCGGGCTGGAGCCGCGGGCGGCCCGCGGCGGCCTGGGCCTTGGGTTCACCCGCGCGAGCGACGTGGATTTGCCTTTTTGGAGGTTGCCAACTTGCTGCCAACACTGCATCCGTCGTCACTTCCGCGAGCGTTTGGGAGGTCTACCGGACGGCGGGGCTACGCAGATTCGAGCGGGACCTTGCTTTCCCCTTCCGACAGGTCCGGGAACTCTTCTGGAGCAAACATGGACGGTGACTCCCGCCCCCGCTCCAAACAGGTTGGAACACGCACTGGGGGGGGAGGGCTGGGGATGGGCATCACCTCGCACGCGGCAGGACCCCCGAAGGGGTCGACAAACAATTTCTTGATAACAAACAGTGAGCTTCATTGACACGGCGACAAAAACTACGAAGTTGTTCGCGGATTTGTTGTTTGTTCGTCTTGGGTTGAAGGTATAACGGGAAATCGTGCCCAATATCGTGAAACAACACCAAATCGCGTGAAATAGCGCCCGGTAGCGGTCAATTATTTCAAACAGCGTTGACCCTGTGCCCAATAACGCCCGATAGCGCTTAACCGCGACATGCGGGGGAGATGCGTCATGTCCGCTTTGCACGTGGTTGGGTGCGCGTCTGGTCGCCATGCGGATGGCAGCTATCATTCGTGAATTGCTTTCGGATCCGAAGTTATTTTCTAATTATTATGCACGCGGGCCCTCGAGATCTGTGTTTCGTTCCTTGCTGCCGGGGCAGGCTCTCGTCTGGATCGCAGTGTGGTGGCCCCCTGGCCCGGAAGCGACCCCCAGAGACCCGAAGTGCGAAGAAGTCTTCGCCGCGATCTCACGACGGGAGTGCGCGGGCAGCCCCCGCCCGCGCCGTCGTGGCGGGGGAGCCTGCCGTGCAGCGGGGAGGAGGGAGAGGGATGGCGGGGGCCTCCTCCTTCCCCTCCTCCTCCTGCTCCTGCTCCTGCTCCTGCGCCTCCTGCTCCTGCTCCTGCTCCTCCTCCTCATCCTCATCCTCCTCCTCCTCCTCCTCCTCCTCCTCCTCTTCCTCCTCCTCCTCCTCCTCCTCCTCCTCCTCCTCCAGGCTCAGCGGTTTGCCTCCAGCCGTTGATCAGCAGCTCGCAGTTGGGGGGGCGCTGCTCGGCCGTCCTCTCTTCGGCCAGCGAGTGCGCATCTCGGTGCCGAACGGTGGGTTGCGAGCGTCAAAGACACGCAAACAGGTTTCAGTCAGGGCCACGGGAATCAGCAACGGACCCTGCTCCGATGCAGGATCGGCGCGCCCCGTCGCCAACCCCAGTGGATGTTGGCCTGATGCTCCGGGGGGGCCCGTGCCCGTGCCGTGCCTCTGGCGTTGCGACCCGTGCCGTGCCTCTGGCGCTCCCGCGCCAGATCCACGGATCCGCAATCCTTGCTGGCGTGCGCGCGGGAACGACCATGCATTGTGTATGCAAGGCTCCAGTGCCCCACTGGTTTGGAGGCTGGGGCGCCTGGAGACACCGGGCTACCCTGCCGACCGGACAGCTCGGGTCCCCCTCGGGCCCCTTCTCTTCGGGCCGCCCAGATGGGGTCCGAGCAGGCGGGGCCGGAGGATCGCGCCGCATCGACGATGCATCGGCGAGGCGGCTCAATGTGCAGCCCGATTTTCTCCACGTCGACGTCGGCGATGCATCGCCGATGTCGCCGGTGCATCGCCGGTGTATCGCCGATGCATCGGGGCTGCGCCGCGATTCTTCGACCCCATCTACTCCGACCCCATCAAGAAAGCCTCCATTCTCTCCAGGGGCGCGCGGGGCGCGCTGGTCCCGCCCACTCTCGCAGGGCCGCCGCGAGAGCTGGCTCTTCGAGGCCGAGGCCGCGCCAGCACCACGGGGCGCTTGGGGGCGCCTCTTCGCCGCCGCCGCCGCCGCCGCCGCCGTCGTCCTCGTCGTCCTCGTCGTCCTCGTCGTCGTCGTCGTCTTCGTCGCCGTCGCCGTCGCCGTCGTCGTCGTAGACTGTCGCCGTCGCCGTAGCCGTCGTCGTCATCGTCGTCCTCGTCGTCCTCGTCTTCCTCGTCCTCGTCGTTGTCGTCGTCGTCGTCGTTTCTCCAGATGGGGTCTGGAGCAGGCGGGGCGCGGTGCGGCTCGATGCGGAGCTCGGTTTTCTCCACGCCGAGGCTGTCAAGCATCGGCGGTGCGTTGCGATCTTCTGGCCCTGCCTGCTCGGATCCCTCTTTGGAGGCCTCGTCGCCACGTCTGGGCGCAGCCTGTCTGACTGGCCAGCTCGGACACCAGGGATGGTCCGGTGGCCGAGATCGAGCGGCCCCGCCCGATTTCCAGTAATGATGGAGAACAACGCCTTCCCCCTATCAGCGCTTGCACTTGGGGGTTCTTCTCTGTTCCCAACCCATCCTGTGGTGTCGGGTCCTCGTTTTGAAGAGACGGTGCCCCGCGTTCCTCCTCCTCCTCCTCCTCCTCCTCCTCCTCCCCCTCCTCCTCCTCCTCCTCTCATCCTTCCTCCTCCCTCTCCTCCCTGCGTTTCACCGGCCCAGTACAGCGTTTCGTGGCCCCATAGGGAGCTCCACCGAAGGCCCCTGTGGCAGGGTTCGCATGGCGGCCCCGCCCCATTTTGGTACGCCCCTCACACGTTTCGTTGTCCCATAGGGAGCTCCACCGAAGGCCCCTGTGGCAGGGTTCGCATGGCGGCCCCGCGCCATTTTGGCGCACCTCTCACACGGTTCGTGGCCCCATAGGGAGCTCCACCGAAGGCCCCAGTGGCAAGGTTCGCATGGCGGCCCCGCGCCATTTTGGCGCACCCATCACACGGTTCGTGGCCCCATAGAGGGCTCCACCGAAAGGCTTTAGTGGCAGGGTTCGCATGGCGGCCCCGCCCCATTTCGGCGCACCCCTCACACGGTTCGTGGCCCAACAGGGAGCTCAACCGAAGGCCCCAGTGGCAGGGTTCGCATGGCGGCCCCGCGCCATTTTGGCGCACCTCTCACACAGTTCGTGGCCTTATAGGGGGCTCCACCGAAGGCCCCAGTGGCAGGGTTCACATGGCGGCCCCGTCCCATTTTGGTTTACCATTCACACGGTTCAGGGGGCTCCACCGAAGGCCCCAGTGGCAGGGTTCGCATGGCGGCCCCTCCCCATTTTGGCGCACCCCTCACACGGTTCGTGGCCCCATTGGGAATTCCCCTTGCTTCGCCACCTGCCCTGCGGTTCTCACACTTGCGTATGGTTGGGTCCTTCACTTGGATAATTTTCTAAGAAACGGAGCTCCGTTGCCAGGTCCGCCGCCTTGTGGTCGCCGTCGCCGCCCCGTCGCCGCTTCGTCGCCGCCCGTCGTCTGGGCTCCGTTGTCGGGTCCGCCGCTTTGTCGTCGCCGTCGCCGCCCTGTCGCCGCCTCGTCGCCAACCCCACCCCGTCGGGGCTCCGCTGTCGGGTCCGCCGCCTTGTGGTTGCCGTCGCCGCCCCGTCGCCCCCTCGTCGCCGCCCGTCCTCTGAACTCTGTTATCGGGTCCGCTGCCCTGTCGTCGCCGTCGCCGCCCCGTCGCCGCCGCCCCGTTGCATTGCGTTGCATCGCCGTGCGTTGCTTTGTATTGCGTTGAATTGCTTTGCATTGCTTTGCATTGCTTTGCGTTGGTTTGCATTGTCATCGCATTGTAGTACGTCGCATTGCATTGCGTTGCATCGCTTTGCATTAAGTTGCATTGCTATCGCATTCCTGTGCAGCGCTTTGCATTGCTCTGCATTCCCTTGTACTGTTCCCAACCATCCTGTGGTGTTTGGGTCCTCGTTTTGAAGAGACGGTCCGCGCGTTCTCCTCCCCTCCTCCCCCTCCTCCCTTTTCCCCCTCGTCCTTCCTCCCTGCGTTTCACCCACCAAGTACAGCCTTTCGTGGCCCCAGAGGGAGCTCCGCCAAAGGCTCAAGTGGCAGGGTTCGCATGGCGGCCCCGCCCCATTGTGGCACGCCCCTCGCACGTTTCGTTGCCCCATAGGGAGCTCCACCGAAGGCCCCAGCGGCAGGGTTCGCATGGCGGCCCCGCCTCCATTGCGGCACACCCCTCACGCGTTTCGTGGTTCCATGGGGGACTCCACCGATTGCCCCAGTGGCAGGGGTCGCATGGCGGCCCCGCCCCATTTCGGCGCACCCCTCACACGGTTCGTGGCCCCACCCATGGGGAGTTCCACCGAAGGCCCCAGTGGCAAGGTTCGCATGGCGTCCCCGCCCCATTTCGGCACACCCCTCACACGTTTCGTGGCCCCATAGGGAGCCCCACCGAAGGCCCCAGTGGCAGGGTGCGCATGGCGGCCTTGCGCCGTAGCGACAATCCCCTCACACGTTTCGTGGCCCCAGAGGGAGCTCCGCCAAAGGCTCAAGTGGCAGGGTTGGTTTGGCGCCCCCCCATTTCGGCACGCCCCTCACACGTTTCGAGACCCCATAGGGGGCTCCACCGAAGGCCCCAGTGGTAGGATTCGCATGGTGGCCCCGCCGCCATTGCGGCACACCCCTCACACGGTTCGTGGCTCCATGAGGGAGTTCCACAGATTGCCCCAGAGGCAGGGTTCGCATGGCGGCCCCGCCCCGTTGTGGCAATCCCTTCACACGTTTCGTGGCCCCATGGGGAGCTCCACCGAAGGCCCCAGTGGCAAGGTTCGCATGGCGGCTCCGCCCCATTTTGGCACGCCGAGCACACGCTTCGTGGCCCCATAGGGAGCTCCACCGAAGGCCCCAGTGGCAAGGTTCGCATGGCAGCCCCGCCTCCATTGCGGCAAACCCCTCACTCGTTTCGTGGCCCCATAGAGAGCTCCACCGAAGGCCCCAGAGGCAAGGTTCGCATGGCGGCCCCGCCTCCATTGCGGCAAACCCCTCACTCGTTTCGTGGCCCCATAGGGAGCTCCACCGACGGCCCCAGTGACTAGGTTCGCATGGCGGCCCCGCACCATTTTGGCACACCCCTCACCTGTTCGTGGCCTATAGGGAGCTCCACCGACGGCCCCAGTGGCAGGGTTTGTATACTTTCCTCTGCGTATGTTGACGCACCTCCCACATGTTTCGTGGCCCCATGGGGGTCTCCGCCGACGGCCCCAGTGGCAGCGCCCGCGTGCGTCCCCCAGCCCACTTCGGCACAACCCGCACACGGTTCGGGATTCTTATCCGCGTTGCCCCGTGCTCCATCCCTCTCGCGGCGTACTGCCTATGATGCGAAGGTAATATCCCACGTTACTCGCAGTTGCATATGGTTGGGTTCTTCGCCAGGCAAATGTTGGTTTACTTTTAATTGGCATTGTCTAGCATTGCTTTGCAGTGCATTGCATTGTTTTGAAGTTCGTTACATTGCTTTGCAATCGCATTGCCCTACATTTCATTGCTTCGCATTACGTTGCATCGCCTTGCAGGGTTTTGCAATGCGCTGCATTGTTTTGCATTGCCTTCAATTGTTCTGCATGGCATTGCAATCCCAATGTGTTGCTTGACGTTGCTTCGTTGTGTATTTCTTTTTGTATTGCGCTGCTTCGCATTGCAATCCCATTGCTTTGCGTATCATTCCTTTGCACTGTTCTGCATCGCGTTTCATTGTCTTTCGTTGCTTCGCATGGCATTGCACTGCTTTGCATTGCATTGCGTTGCATTGCATTGCAAAGCAGTGCAATCTGTTTTCCACTGCTTTCAATCGTTGCATTGCGTTGCATGGCAATCTGTCTTCCACTGCTTTGCATTGCATTGCATTGCACTTCCTTGGATTGCTGCGCGCTGTGTTGCATTGCGTTGCATTGCGTTGTATTGTATTGATTTGCTCTGTTTTGCCTTGCGTTGCATTGCTTTTCGTTGCGTTGCATTGCTTCGCACTGTGCTGGATGGTACTGCAGTGCGTATAATTTCGCTGCATGCTTTGCATTGCGTTGCATTGCCATCGCATTGCATTGCGTTGCTTTGCAATCGCACTCTTTTCGTTGATTTGCTTTGCATTGTTGTGAATTGCGTTGCATTGCCTTGCTTTTCACTGCATGGCTTTGTATTGCATAGCAGGTGCATTGCTATGCATTGTATTGCATTGCATGGCAATTGCATTGCATGGCAGTGTTTTGCATTGCGTTGCATTGCTTTGCGTTGATGTCCATTGTCTTGCTTTGCCTTGCATATCTTCGCATTGCTTTGTGCCACATAGGTTACACTACATCGAGTGCACTGCCCAGATGGCACCTCATTGCTTGCTCCACCTAGATCGCACCGCATAGATTACAAGACGTCACTGTTCGGGGTCCACGCTGGCTAACCTGGTTTGAGGTTTTGGATGCCTCGCTCCCCAAGTATGTTTTGCTTAAGGGCTTCTTACTTGTGTTTGAATGACTGGTGGGTTCCCAGCCTGCTCCAGCTGGCCTTGCTCGGGTTTCCCAGGCTCCTTGTCATTGTGTTCTCACTGTTTCTGACGTCCTGCCCTGCCTGGGATCCTCGGTTTTCCCAGGGCTCCTCGGTCTGGGTGTCTTGGTCTATGCTGTCTTCCTTTGGTTCCTTGGTCTTTGGTTCTTGATTCCTTGGTCTTGGTTGCTTGGTTACTCGTTCCTGGTTCCTAGGTTCACTAGCTCCTTGGTCTTGGTCTTCCGCTGCCTCGCCGCCCAACGCAGTTGTCTGCTGCCCCTCTCAGCAGTCATGTTCCCAGAGGGTCGAAGCTCCGACTTTCCAGCGGGGTGTGCGCAGAACGTTCCGGAGGAGCTGCTCTGGAACAGTCTGGTTTGTCTCGTGTCAAGGGGGCTTTGCGCACGTGGCGCGTGCGACCGGATCCAGTCATTCGTCCCAAACATACACTTACCTGGGGTCGGCCAGGGTGAGATGGGCCGTCCGCGGGACTGGGCGCTTGCCACTGTGCCCGA